ATAACAAATTCTTCTTTTAGTAGATATTTTAGCCTAGCAGTTTGGGGGATCTTCTCTCCTCTTATTTACTGCCTTTGATTACCAATATTCAGTACAGTGGACCTTCTGCCAGAAGCTGTCTCTAAATTTACTTTTTATCTTCAAGATTGTCATTAATTATAAAAAGTTGTTTCAGTAAGGATTTCAGTCTACCTTCATGCCCGTTTGTGTTTTCAGTGGTCGTGTCTTTTCTTAGCTGTACATACAACTCCAAAGTTTCAGCGCAAGTTTACATTTACAGCAAAATTCCAGCCCGAAATAACAAGGTAATGGTTATGGAGCCTAACTTCACATTGGGCAAATGTTTCTTTACCCTTTCTATGGTCACCGGGACAGGAAGTGAGTGTAACTCTCCAGGGGAGACAGAGACCGCAATAAAACATATGGTAAAAACAAAAGGAATGCCAACCCTCCACTACGTCAGAAGGAGCGGTGCCTGTGTCCTACTATACTACGGCAATCTTTGAGATTGATAACACAACCATCCATCCCTCTCCTCATGCCAAGGTGCTAGGAGTCATCCTTGACTCGGACCTCACCTTTCTTCGCCACATCCAATCACTATCCAAATCCTGCCGCCTTCACCTTCATAACATCTCCAAAATATGGCCCCTTCTCACCAATGAAACCGCTACATTACTCATCCACTCCCTTGTTATCTCCCATCTTGACTATTGCAACTCCCTCCTCATTGGCCTTCCACTACACAGGCTATCCCCCCCTTTAGTCTATCATGAATGCTAGACTCATCCACCTGACCAACTGCTCAGTGTCTGCATGCAACCCCCTCTGCAAATCCCTGCACTGGCTTCCACTCGCCCAAAGGACACAATTCAAAATTTTAAAAATCCCTTATAAAGCCATCCACAACTCTGCCCCTGGCTATATCTCAAACCTTGTCTCAAAATATCACCCTAACAAGACCTCCTGCTTTCCAGCTCCTTTGCCAACTCCTCCCATACTCGCCTCCAGGACTTCTCTAGAGTCTCTCCCATCCTCTGGAACTCTTTACCCCAACCTGTCCATTTATCTCCCACTCTGACTGCCTTTAGGCGATCCCTAAAGACTCATCTCTCCAGGGAAGCCTATCCCACCTCAACCTAACCACTGAACCATCACATTCTCAAACAATTCATCCCCACAAAGCTACCTCCTCATGTATCACTGGCCCCTCCCTTGTAGATTGTAGTCCCTCCTTACCATCTTGTCTTGAATTGTATTGTATTGTCTTCCATATATTGTAAAGTGCTGCACAAACTGTTGGCACTATATAAATCCTGTATAATAATAATAGTTGGAACACTTTTTAAAGGTTCTGGGAGAGCCAACACATTTTGGGGATCTCAGCCACCTTCATTAAGGCTAATAATAAACATATTTGATATTAATTATTGAACTGTAAACATAATTCTGTGAAAATACATCTAAATATGTAAAATATAGAGACTTAAATATATTAATTTATGTATACACGAACATACATATAGCTACGTGCTGGAGTTGGGCTATAAAACTGGGTGGGCAACTCTAGCTCTCCAGCTGTTGTAAAACAACAAGCCCCATGAGGCATTGTAAGACTGACAGTTACAGGCATCACTCCCAGAGGCAGGGATTGGTAGTTAAAGCACAGCTAGAGGGCTGGAGTTGCCGACCCCTGGGCTTTAGGGTTTTGTGAAGGATTTATAGGGTTTTTTATTACAACTTCCTTTAATGATTGTTGGACAACATGGAATGTTCTTAGGATTTTAATTCCATGGAATGTCATTTTAATTCCACACTTTTTTTTCTATTGTGAAAAAAATTTCAGGAGGTTTATCATTTCACAAAGAATTGGGGAAAATATGTGACACATTCTTGAATGACAGCCCTGTCAACAGCTCACAATATTGTTACATGACTTTTACAGCGAGGAAACATCTCCCCCAGTGTTTGTATGTTTCTGCTACCTTTCACAGAATCAACCATATCTCCGGTTATTATATTGCAAATTTAAAGCAGAGTTTGCAGTTACAAGGTGCAACAGCTCTTATATTGCTGTTATCACACTGCAGCTGTACCATTTGTATTTCGTGAATATCATTATCCCATCATAATAGGATCTGATATTTTCATATATTTTATGAACAACATAAATGGCATTTCCAGTAAAAAAAAGCACCTGTACAGCTTGTAGTATACATATACAGTATGTAATATAATACAATACTTATAAGGTCTGATCTAATCTATGTTCTAGCATATGAATCATACCTAGTATGTTTACCCATATTTTATTTCTCTTTATTCTGGCATTCTGTTCACATTCCTTTTTTTTTTTAGCAATGATTAAGTGCAAGCTATTCACTATTTTTAATGCAGGCTCTGAAGCTTGCAGCTGGCATAGAGTGCATTGAGGAAAAAAACAAAAATTAAAACAAGGGCTTAAGACATGACCAACAAAAGAACACAAAGGCAGCAGTCTAGAATCTGTGTGAATGTGGTGAAAGGCCACTAGCGCTGGATTTCAAGATATCCATTTTAAAGGCTCTAGAGGGAGCACCAACTCCACTGGTTTAAACAAGCATGCAAGACCGGAGCAATCCATATTTTACAGTCTGGCACAATATCTGCCTAAAACTCCTTGACATGAATAAAGTGATGTAAGTAAGAAGCAATAATGGCATCAAAATCTACTGCAAAGGGGAAACTAAAGTGAGATGTTATTTGCTGTACAGTATTCTCTGTACAAAGAAAAATGTTTTTTTTTTTTAAATTCATGCACAGACTATTTTTGCCTTTTATTTAATGTAGGCATCTACATAGCACCAACAGTCTTCACAGCATTTTTAAATACTATAAATTCACATCAGGTCCCCATCTTATATGCATACATACTCACTTACAAGGGCCAGTTTGGACAGGAGCCAATGAACCTACCAATATGTAATTGGAGCATGGGAGGAAATCCATACAAGCACATGAAACTTCATGCAGATAGTGCCCTGGACGACCCTGGATTTGAACCGGAGACATCAAGGCAGAAGTGCTAACCACTGAGCCACTGACTGCTTATTCCTTCTCTCCCAATTGTTTGGTTGTTTGGCATTTTACTGATGTTACCACAATATAATAACAGACCATCACTAATGCATAACTCAAACTGCTAAATAAAAGAGTGAAGTGATGCAGGTATGGTGATATTAAGTTGGTGTCTTTGTGGCCATGAACCACTACAAATCTTTATCTCCATTCCTTTTCATTAATGCCTATTTGTTATGGGAAAGAGAAAGGTCTTATGGGAACTTTTCTGTGTCAGCATGGACTTGAGACATAAATGCTCAGATGAGTAATCATAATATATTGGCAGAGCAAGTTTATTTCCTCCAGCGGTCTTCAAGCTATGTCAGTCATTTATGAAGAGAACCTGAAAACTAGCTCAGTCATGAAGGGGTTAAAGGAACTGAGAAAAGCTGATCTGTGAGGGTCTAAGAAAGAAAAGCCTTACCATTTTACATTAAGCCACATGAGGCTGCTATTTCTGCTATGATGCTGAAAGTAGTAAAGCTTTGTGACTAAAATGTGCAACAGACAGTAGAAATGAATGGCTAGAATGTAATCTTGCTTTTGTTACTAAACGAAGAAAACCCATTTATATTTTTAAGGTAGTCCTACTGTGAAAATCAATTTTTTTCACATATACTTATCAATCAGGATACCAGAGTTTTCACTGATTTCACAATGAATGGAACATAATACTGCCAAGAATGACTAAATATTAGGCTGGTGCATCATGTAAAGTCTATGTAATCCATGTTTAGTATTGTACAGTATGTTTCTGACAGCAATTGAGCACCTCATTCAACCACATTTAATAAAAACTTGTCATTATTTTTAAAGTAGCCAAAGTAGAACTATGGCCTCCCATTTAAAAAAATCGGATGCAACAATTAGTTATATTCGGAAACTGTCATTCGGATTTCGGATGCTCCGAAATTCGGAGTTTCAGGAAAATTCGTACGAATTTCGATTCGTAACGAAACGAATCGCACATGTCTAGTTATAAGCGTATATTATTTTACACTATTTCTTAGTCCCCCTGCAAAGTCCCACAAAAACAGCCCCACAATGCAGCTTCCAGTGATGGAGTGGCAATGATGCTGCACTAATGAATTCAGAGCAGAGTTGCCATTCTCATTATTGAATGTGTTCTCTTGCACTACAGTGGGATGAGAAGATGTTTCAAAGAAAGAGCAGGGCTATCGCAATGTGAATGCTGATTCACAAACCTGTAGCTTGTCAATCAGCTTCTGGCCATACCTAGTCCGGCGCACTGCTTTGTTGATTGACAATACTGTCTCTGTTGCAAAAACCCTCCCACTGTGAGCTGTAGTGTCTAGGAAGGCGGCATATGAGACACAAATTAGGGAGAACATAGCTCAGTCAGGGGATGTAAAGGAGGCTTTTGTTTACTTTAGGACCATTGCCCATCACATAGTAACTGACTCTGGCACTTGTCATACAGGAGCCTTCACTTATACTTAAAGTCAGAAACTGACTATAGGTTAGAAATGTGCAGAGTAAAAAAATTAGTTTCGGACGAAACAAATGAAAATGAAATTTTTTTTATTTGTTTCGTCAAAGGAAACAAATTTTCAAAGGCAACGAGCCTCCAAATCTGAAACTACAGAAAGAAACTGCAGAACGAGCGGCAGCTGTATCGGCCGCCAGTGTGTTCACCAAGATGGCGGCACCCGAATATGTGGGCACCGCCATCTTGGTGTATACCAAGATATACTCCAAAATGATGGCACGCATGCCCAGAACACACTGGTGGCTGGTGTGCATTCTGCGAATAATGTGGCGTCATGTGACGTCATGCACCCCGCCTTCAAGATGGCGGTGGGCATGCGCAGGATGTGACGGCGGCCAATATGCCTGCCACACTTTCAGACAACATATTTTATATGCCCCAATATAATTTCTTTGTATATTTGGGCATATACAAAATTTGTTATTTCGGATTTGGACAAACTGCCGAATCAACTGTATTTCACTGATTTGCAGGTTCGTCCGAATCCAAATGCACATGTCTACTTTAGGTCCACCAGACACCCATGCTTCCTATATTGTGTAAATGCTAAGCACATCACCTGAATATTTTCCCAGAACATTTCCCATCTCAATCTAACAGGCCATTTGATTGCCTACTACTTCCTGCCTACATCTGCCTGGCATGTCAATAAATATTTCTGCCTATCACACAGTTAGGAACTACACAGGGTCACTGAACATTTTATGTGATATTTTTAGAGTTCAACAATGTAGGCAGTAGGGAGGCATGTGGACGTAAACTCACTTTCTGATGTTAGGTTCACTTCAGGGAATAATGCTTAAGGGCATTAAGCCATAGCAAAACAACCAGAATCCATCCTATGTTGTTCTGATTTCAGCAGAATGAATGCAGAGTGGTTGATACAAATTATTGCACTTAGGCATTTACACTCAAGAGTAAGAAGTTTCCTTAATAATATTTTCAAAGATCCACTTGACTGCAAATAAATGTAAAGTCTCTGGTGTACTATACACATGTTGCTTGTGTTTGCAAGCCCTATTGGTACAGTGTTTTTTTTTCTGTCTCCCCCCTGGTCTATTTGTGACAACTTTACCAACAAATTACAGAAGTAGAAGAAAGGAATCTCAAAAACATCACTGATCACTTTTTGGATACTTTGATACTTCACACAAGGCTTTTTGATCTTTAAATGGAAAAAGCAGCATGTTTCATTTCCATTGCCCTTACTCAGTCTTTTACCATAACCAAATGGCCCTGTGAACTGATACAATCTTAATGAGAGACTCCATTTTAAACTCTCTTCACCTGTTGACAACAACTGAAAGTGAAATAATTTTTTAGGTTTCAGTACCAGTTATGAAATAGCTCAGCTCTGCATTGAGTCCAGCATCAGCATCTGAGCAGTTCATGCGTGCCACAATGTAATCTCGTGGTACATTCTCAGCCAGTGAGATGTTGTATAAAGTTGGATAGAAAGTTGGGCTCTCGTCATTGACATCCAGCACTAAAAAGAGAACAATTACAAATAAATTATTATACTGTTATTACTGTTATAAATTATTAACATTGTTTAGATAAAATTTCTTAAGCACATTTTATACACATAGGACAGGAAAAGGGAATAGTCATTGTACATAAAAACTAGACATGTAAGCTGGCAAAAATTAGCTTTATTTCAGATTTTTTGTTATTTCGTTTTTCAGGATTCAAGTCCGAAAGTCAATTTGGTTCGGGATTTGAATGAATCCAACATTTTTGTTAATTTCGGATGCGGTAGTATTTACAAACACATTTTGGCTGCAGCAAAGTGAAGTCCGCTAAACAGTCTGCAGAAACAATATTTTTAAAAAGCGTGGGGTTCCCCCCAATTCATACCAGACCCTTTAAGTCTGGTAAGAATGTTAGGGGCACCCTCAACCCCCAAAACGTTTGTGGTTCCTCTCCAAAGTAATACCAAACCCTTTAGGTCTGGTTGGAATTTTAAGGGGGACCACAATGCAAAAAACAAACAAAAAAAGTAGTGTCCCCCTAAAATTCCTACCAGATCCTTAATCTGAGCAGCAGCTTGGCAGAGCAGGAATGCCCCCCCCCCCTCCTTGCGCCATTCCAGGCAAAATGCTCTCAACATGAGGAGGGTGCTTTGCCAGGGAGGTAGTCTCTGGAAAAGCACCTTGTCCCCATGACGATGAGGACAGGGGCCTCATCCCCACAACCCTGGCCAGGTGGCTATGGGGGTCCATGGGCAGGGGGGCTTATCTGAATCTGGATGGCCTTTTCATAAAGGGGGCACCCAGATGCCACCCCCCTTGTGAATTAGTAAGGGGGAGTTGTTACCCCTACTCATTCACCAAATAGTAAATAAAATAGTAAATAAAACACTACACCGGGACTTTTATTTTAAAAGAAATACCAAAAAAGTGTCCAACAATGTAATCTAAAGGTCCATCACATCGTTCAGGGATGTAGATCCATGTCAATCACAAAGAAAGCCCACCAACTCGCCAAAATGTAAAAATCCTGCTGCCTGCCAACCCGCTCAATCCCGTCAAAGACCGCCACAAAATGACAGGTCTGAACCAGATGTAAACAAATCGGCGGAGTGAGTCGTGATGCCACGGGACTTGTTCCACCTGTTTATTGACCTTTGGGACCAGACCTGTCAAACAAAAACAACTGTGTTGCTGAATAGCATGCGGGAACTCCTGAATGCCATTTGGGTCCGGGAACCAAGTTGATGTTGTTATTAATAAGCTCCTGACTGCTATTCGGGAACAGAGTTGTGGTATTATATGACAGGTCTGGTCCCAAATGTCAACAAATGGGTGGACCAAGTCCCATGACATCACAACTCTATCCGCCCATTTGTTTACATTTGGATAAGACCTGTCATTTTGTGGTGATGTTCGCCGGGATTGGACGGGACTTTTTTAAAATTTTGGCGAGTTGGCGTGTGTCGTTCATCATGAGTTACGTTGGATTACATAGATGGACGACATGATTGACCTTTGGATTACATCATTGGACACTTTTTTTTTATAATAAAGGACTTTGTCACTTTGTCATGGGGAAGAGGCCCTTGTCCTCATTGGCATGGGGACAAGGTGCTTTTCCAGGGGGTCCCCCTGGCAAAACACCCTTCCCTGTCGAGGGCATGTGGCCTAGTATGGTGCAGGGAGGGGGGCACTCTGCCAGGCTCTGCTCTGCCAGGCTGCTGCTCCAATTAAGGGTCTGGTAGGTATTTTAGGGGGGACCCCACTGTTTTTGGTTTTTTTTTACATGGGGGTCCCACCTACATTCCTACCTGACCTAAAGAGTCTGGTATTAATTGTGAAGGGAACTTTCCTTTTTTTTTACATTGACGTTTAAAAACAAAATGTTCATCTGAAATTTTCGTTATCAGTTCAGATTTGCTATTTTTTCGTTCGGTAATTCGGATGCGTCCGGATTTCAATTTGGAACAAAACGAATCACACATGTCTAATTAAAACAGCATTGCAACAAATAAGCATTACCTAAAGTCAGACTGAGATAGAACTAACAGATCTGTGCACTAATCTCACATTATCCATGCACTTTTTTAAATGTCCTGGAACAAAAACAGGAGGGACATTTTAAATTCTTTAATTTTTCGAAATCTGTGCTAAAAATTAAAACCATAATCTGCCTGCTGCTCTGTGCTTTCTGCCAGCCTGCTGCTCTGTGCTATCCCCAAAGTTCTGTTTCATTGATTTTCATAAATTATTCCCATCTGCTGGGTCAATCAGCATGGCTCCCTGTGTAAATTTAAGGCAATTTGCCTGATAAATATTGGCCAAATCAAATTACACAATGTGAAGTAGGCCTCCAATATGTCAAAGTCAGAACCCCTCTTACCAGGCAAGGATGCCCCAAAACTTTTAGAGCAAATTCTGAAACTCCAGGATATAGGTAGAGGCATTTGCACATTTCCTGGTAACACACACTCACGAGAATGGGCCAGCTATTGTATAATTATGGTTTAAAAATATTACTTTTGATTTACTCAAGCAACAGGTGTGTCTTAACAAAATTACATTTTGGTTTTCTTGATTTTATGTAAAGAATTGCATTTGGAAAACCTTATAAAGTTAACCGTGAATTACCACGAACGGTAAGAGTGCTGGTAGAGCTTTTGGATGGTGATCCTGCATCACTGGCCACTACCCTCAGGTAATACTCGCTGATCTTTTCTCGATCCAGTATGGCGGTAGAGGTAACCAGTCCAGTTGTGCTATTTAAGACAAAGTCCATACGTGGCATTCCAACCCGCATCTGATATGTTACTTGCCCATTCAAGCCTTCATCAAGGTCTATAGCTACCACCTACAGGAAAATAAAGCAAAAGGTAATTTTAAGATAGCTAAATTATCAGTGCTGTATGCAGGGGCAATGAGGAAGGGCAATGAGGAAAGGTAATAATTTGGAATAAGGTGTCACCTTCTAAAGGTGGTATAATATGAGGTACTCACCTTGTTTCATGGCCCCTCACCTGCATCTTGTCAGAATAATGTCTATGGAAATTGCAAATGATTGAACTCTGCATCCCTGTTCTCTGACCCTAGTGTCTACTCGAACAAAACTGTCTATGACTAGGGTAGGGGAACGTTTTGACAGGGTATAACTATTATCCAGCAGGGTAAAGCAGGACTGTTGTAGCTGTCACAGAAACCTAGGAATGTTCCCAGGATTATCATGTGGATGTACAATTGCTTATTTACAATGCTTTTAAATGTATTTTACTGAAACATATCAGGCATTACCTGAAATACAGAAGTACCGACAGGTGTGCCCTCAAGCACCTCAGCAATAAATGGTTGATTCTGAAATGTGGGGTCATTATCATTGAGATCCAGTAAATTTACAAAAACGGTAGCACTGCTCGTGGCCCGGAGAGGTGGTCTTCCTCCTGTAAAATGTTAAAGACAAATAATGTAATGATGGATTTTTGAAGTCATTTAATACCGTAAAACACTACTTGATGTAGTGTAGTTTGATCACTAGAGATTTGTTTACATTCAAAGCATTTTGTAGGTCTTTTTCACACTGGGGCTAGATGCAGAAGAACATTAAAATCACTTCTATAACTTAAGGCTGTATTCTGCTTCATAGTCAATAAATATCCTGGCAGGGAGCATAACCAGAGGAGCATAAGTAAAGAATCCCACAGATTCTATCATTTGTCAAATTTTGCTGTCAATGATGAAAGCTAATTTGGACCAATTGCCTTTAGTTACACCTCCCTAATGCCTTTCTACCATATTCCAACAGGGACAGGAAGCAGAGACTATAAGGCTTGCCTTACCAAGCCTTCTCAGTATTTTCCAAATGATGAACAAACTTGTATAACAACATATCACTCAATATAAGAGGGGTAGTTATTCGGTTGCTGTAGGAGAAGATTCCTGGAAGAGGAATTACTGCACTGGGTATATTACAGATTTTAGCTTTTCCTTTTAATAAGGCATCTAGAGACAGTATAGGAAATGGAAAGTGCAGTAACATATCTTGCTCATCTAGGGCACTCTCGAGGCAGCACAGGCTACAATGTAAAAAACGTAAATATAAAAAATGATGTGTGACCCCTCCTAAATCCATAATCGACCCTTTTAAATTACTAATTTGCATCACTGTTTACTAGGGATGCACAAATACCATTTTTTCCAGACTAAGTACGAGTACCAATACATTTCCTCAAGTATTCACCAACACCAATTACCGATTGGTACTCATACTCATGCAAATACCCAGTATCGGCACCAATACCGATATCAGTATTGGAACATCCCTATTACATACATGCTCTACCCCATTGGACAAAGTGCACGTAGCACTTTTGTTCCATTTTGCTAGGTGCAGTAGCAGAGCTAGTGTGGTCAACAGCGCACACCTCTCCCCTCACCGCTACCCGAACGCACTGCTCTGAAGGACACAAATATTTATTGGCTGTGATTAACAGCACTGGTTTCCAGCAACAGATGTGCACCAGAAATGAGTACTGTCTCTAATCATGCAGGAGAGAGGGCATATCATTTCAAGTCTCCTCTACACAGCTTGTCAGTGCAATTCTTCTCCACACAGCCTGTCAGCCTCAGTCTACCCCCCATACAGCCTATCAGCATCAGTCTCCCCCTCAAAACCTGTCAGTGTCAGTCTCCTCCACACAGCTGATCATGGAAGTAGTGCTGGGAAATAATTTGAAGAAATCCCAAGCCTAGACCATCAGCAATTGAACGGCACAATAGGAATGCACTCACCAATCATGCTTGATGGAGGGGTGAAGCAAATAAGAAATACAACTGAAGTAAAGATCTGATATAAGTGAGAATCTGCCAGAATTTCTTTTTGTAAACAAAAACATTGATTTAAACATGAAACCATAATCCTCATGAAATTCTTCTTTACAACACATGCAGCTGGACGATTCACCTGTAGTGAATGTTTAGTGAATGTCAGATTCACTGCTTTATAAATATGCCCCATAATTGTAACTCTGTAATCTTTAATGCCACTGTAATGAGTTGCTAAAAATGAAACCGTAAATGTTTAGTAATATTTAATATCTATATATAGATTATTTATTTACATTTTACGGTTCTACACAACTCATGGTAGCTTTAGCAGCAATCAAATTAGCACTGTCTGGCTGCATGGCACAGCCTGTATTTGGCATATTTGGTACTGTCATATTTGGTGCTGTCATATTTGGTGCTGAGCCTTTACCTCAGTGGGATGATGTTATACTATACTATGCAGCTATACAGAGACCATACCTTGGTGGAAAGATGAGGCTGTACCCAAAAAAAGTATGCATAGCAGTATTTATGGCTTTCCTGATTTAAATAATTTTTCTGGGTGAGTAATTTAACAAATATGGAGACAGTGGATCGGCAGAACTTCCAGGTATCTAACATGTTCAGAAGTCAGAAGGTGAGAGGTGTGTGCCTATGCTGTTCGGGATTTTTTCCCCTACAACTACACCATAAGGAATGGATGCATCAAGACTGTTTATAACAATGCTTTTACATTCTGACCAATAATTTGTTTAAACTCTGAATGCTATTGAGTGAAATGTTATTGACATGCAGCAATATATTCATAAAGCTAAGGTCATAAAGAAAGACAAAATGCTTTATGTAAAAGTGGTATTGTAATTGTGATACTCACGGTCAGTTGCTGAGATAACGATCTTCCTCATGAGTTCAGCTTCCTGTGGATTTGGGTTCTCCCTGTCTAGCACCACACCTGTTGTTCTGATCTTCCCAGTGGTGCTATTCAAGGCATAGAACTTATTAGGAGGGTTGATGCTGTATACCACAGTACCATTCTCAGCAAGGTCTGGATCTAAGGCAACCACCTGTTTTATAAAGGATAAGATGAGAAGAAACTATAAGAAGTCAGAGAATACACAGTTCACAAAACTGGCAGCAAAATTCTCAATCATTTAACAAAAAATTACATCAATTCTATTGAACACACCAGTGGCACAATAGGAAAGAAAGCTGTGCAAAACTAGGGGAAGGGCATATATTTAGCCTAAAACAATCATATGCTGAGGGTAGAAAATATGTATCTAATTAATTGGTGGAACCAAGAGCTTTACCTTTTCTTCTTTCCCCCAGATTCCAGAAAATAATCTGCTCTACTGTTAATATGTTCCTAAATATCTTGGAATGACCACAGACAAGCAAGCAAACACACTAGATTACAATGCACACCTAAGCTTAGAGACCTTATAATTTACTGTCAGGGTACCATGCGCAGGTGTCCTCACACCGCATGCAGGTACCCACGCAGGAGGACCAAATTAGTGTGACCACACTAGGCAAGATCAAATGAGTTGTATACCATTTATTGTAAACAGCCCAACTCAACATAGCACCCAAAAGCAAACATAAATAAGCAAAGTGACACCAACTAAACATAGCCACAACCCCATACAAAGATAACAGGAGCAAACCCAAACCCAGGGTATACAAAGCAGGTAAACCTAGGGAGCAGGGCAAGACCAGGGGGGCCAAGGAACAAGGCGTCAGGGTACAGGCGGGTAACAGGACTGGAGGAACTGGATTCACAGGAAACAACAGGATACTGAGCCATGGTCCTGACTGCAGGGAGGGTTTAAATACCCTCCCAGGAAGCACCAGGTGATGGGTAAGTGCTGGCAGCTGGGAGACACCCGCAGGTGAGCACTGGAGCTGCAGATTCCAGCACCATCCAGTGGTGGTCTGGCACCTAACAGTTCCTGGCTGCCTGGAGACACCTGCAGGTGAGCACAGGAACTGCAGGTACTGGCTCCAGCGCCACCAGGAGGTGCTCTGGATCCTGACATTTACTGAGGTCTAACTTGCATTAATATCACTGTGCAGAAAAGAAGAAAAAAACACCACCCTTTCAGAGTGCTTACTTTTTTAAGGTGAGAGACTGGCCGTTCGTTCAATTTTATAT